AGTAATAAATAACTGATATCAAATAATTTCCATTTTGTAAGCGAAAARCAATTTAAACTATAATTAAAGCGCAAAAAAATTACAAATATTTTCGAATTGCCACCCTTTAGCAAAACATATTCACATATGCCACTATTTATGCGCGATTGCGTGCAAGATAAAACCATCACATTGAAATATATGTACATACATATGTACGAGAACAAACTTTTTCTATTGCATCAAACTACTGTAATTAAATTGAAATTTTTAATTTATACTTCGCTGGCTTCTCAAATCGATATTATTTGAAAATGTTACAGTTTTTTGTCCAATAACCTCATTTATAGTAGAAATCGAAGAATTCACTTTTAAAGCCTCACAAAACGACGCGTATCTCAAATAATGAATATTTGTACGTGTAATTTAGCATAGATGCCACTAAAAGTACCACCAACTTACAGAAAAAAAATATACCGATTCGAAAAGCATGCGATGTATGTATAAATTTCCTTTGATAACAGTAGTATATATCAGGTATAATATTTTTGGTGTTTGCTTCTATTTAAAGTCGAATGTTAACATTTCATTTGTAAGACTATTCTTCTTATTCTTAATTGGCGTAGACACCGCTTACGCGATTATAGCCGAGTTAACAACAGCGCGTCAGTCGTTTCTTCTTTTCGCTATGTGGTGCCAATTGGATATTCCAAGCGAAACCAGGTCCGGACAMCATGACCTAGCCAGCGTAGTCGCTGTCTTTTAATTCGCTGAACTATGTCAATGGCGTCATATATCTCATACAGCTTATCGTTCGAAGAATGCGATATTCGATTTCTCTCGAAAACTCCCAACTTCTACTCATCAGTTGTTGTCATTGTCCAAGCCTTTGCCCCATATAACAGGACGGGAATTATGAGTGACTTATAGAGTTTGGTTTTTGTTTGTCGAGGAGAACTTTGCTTCTCAAATGCCTACTCAATCCGAAGTAGGAACTGTTGGCAAGAGTTATCATGCGTTGGATTTCCAGGCTGACATTGTTGGTGGTGTTTACGCTGGTTCCCAGATGGAGGAAATTATCTACGACTTCAAAGTTATGACTGTCAACAGTGACGTCAGAGCCAAATCGCGAGTGCGACGACTGTTGTAAGAGTTGCGACTGATGACAGGAGATATTTCGCCTTGCTCTCGTTCACTGCAAGACCCATCTGCTTTGCTTCCTTGTCCAGTCTGGAGAAAGCAGAACTAACGGCGCGGGTATTGAGTCCGATGACATCAATATCATCGACATACGCAGCTGTACACTCTTATAGAATATGGTACCTTCTCGATTTAGTTCTGCCGCTCGAATTATTTTCTCCAGAAGAAGGTTGAAGAAGTCTCACGATATGGAGTCGCCTTCTCTGAAACCTCGTTTGGTATCGAACGGCTCGGGAGGTCCTTCCCAATCCTGACGGAGCTTTTGGTGTTCCTCAACGTCAGTTTACACAGCCGTATTAGTTTTGCGAGGATATCAAATCCAGACATCGCGGCATAAAGGCAGCTCCTTTTCATGCTGTCGAAAGCAGCTTTGAAATCGACGAAGATTGGGCATAGCACACTTAAATTCCAAACCTTGTGTTTGTGTGCGTGCGTTTTTTTTCTGCACAGGGGCGGGTGCGAATCCTCGCTACAACAATCTAAAACACTGGAGACGTGTCTTCCGTCTATCACAACATGATCGATTTGGTTAGTGGTTTTTGATCCGGAGTCAGCCAAGTAGTTTGATGAATCTTCTGATGCTGGAATCTAATAATATCCGTTTGAAGGGGAGCTAAAGTAATAAGACGAAATATCCCCTGCATAGGGTTGTGCGCAGGGTTTGGGACCCGCCACGTAAAAAAGCACCCCAAATGTAAAGGAACAACCAGCCTCGGATGAGAGGCCCCCCCTTGGATAACGACCATGGAAAACGAAATAAGGACTACGAATTCGGGACATGATCCTGGAATATCCGGTCCCTTAATTGGGAAGGTACCGCTGCCCAGCTGGTTGATGTTTTCGTGAAAATAAAGGCTGACAAAAATTGGGAGACTCTTACTATTACTATTAATTCGAATTAGCATACGAACATTATACATATAAAACACAAGGGGTTGGAAATGCAGGAAATAAGTATTTCTTAATTTGAAAGAAATTATAAGTCTGCGTTTAGTATATGAAATATTACATTTGTAATCAGAATAAGGAAGATGGAGTCATATGTAGAAGTCCTCGCAAGTGTGAGAATTCTCACTTCTTCTCCAGAAACGATTATTTTACATATCACTCAAGCAGCTCCCGACTTTCGGTCTTTGACTAAGTATCCTCTGGGTAACCTAAGAATATCCGTTTAAAGGCGGTGTGCGTACGCCCCGAAGTCCTATCATCGACTCGGACCACTATCTTGTTGCAGCCAAGATTCGCAACCACCCCTGCGCAGCACAAAGAGTACATCAACAATCGCAAAGAAGGTTCGATGTCGCGAAGCTGCATTCACAACTTACTGACGAACGATTTTCCTTTCGACTAGCACTCCTGATCCTTGTAGGCACTCATCATCAAATCGGTATAAGGGAACTGTAGGACGGTATTTAAAGCACGTAATGTACAGCTGCAAAAGAAACTATTGGTTTTCAGAAACCGGAAAGAAACAGCCGGCAGAATGAGTACTGCCGTTTTGTAGTAGAGATAAAACTGACTGCCTTAATCGTTACGTCACAATCGACCTTAACACGTTCGGAATGGAATAGAATCGAGAGTTGAAGAGGGAAGCTAGACGCATTTGCAGACAGAAAAAGAAAGAGGTCAAAATTTGTGAGTAGAAAAACTTGCCAAGCTGGCCGGTAAGGGTAATGCTCGAAAATTTTACGAAAAATTGTGGCAGCTAACAGAAGGTTTCAAGACCGAGTCATCCTTTTTAGAACCCCCAAAGGTGATCTAGCGACGGATGCCCAGAGCATACAAAAATTATGGAGGGAACACTTTTCCAGCCTGCTGAATAGCAGTGAAAGTATTACGCCAGAAGAAGGCGAACCAGATTGCCCAATCGATGACGATGGAGCAGATATTCCATTGCCCAAACATGAAGCAGTTCGAATATCAATTACCCGCCTGAAGAACGGGCCGAGCTATTCAAACACGGCGGCGAAGAACTGATAAGGAACATACATTAGCTTCTTTGTAAAATATGGTCGGTCGAAAGCATGCTCAACGACTGTAGTTGAAGTGTGCTCTGCTCAATCTACAAAAAGGGACTCCCCACAATCTGCGCCAAGTACCGTGAGATAAGCCTCCTCAACATCGCATATAAGGTCCTATAGAGCCTATTATGTAAAAGATTAAATTAAGATTAAGACCCTATCACCAGATGTTCACCATTCGAAAAATATTTTTCTTCGTTGGTTTCGAAGCTGCTTTCGACAGCACGAAAAGGAGCTGCCTTTATGACGCGATGTCTGGATTTGGTATCCTCGCAAAACTAATACGGCTTTGTAATCTGACGTTGAGCAACACCAAAAAGTCCGTCAGGATCGGGAAGGACCTCCCGAGCCGTTCGATACCAAACGAGGTTTCAGAGAAAGTGACTCCCTATCGTGAGACTTCTTCGACCTTCTTCTGGTGAAAATAATTCGAGCTGCAGAACTAAATAGAGAAAGTACCATCTTCTAGAGTGTTCAGCTGCTGGCATATAATGTGA